GGGGGGGGTTAAGTGCCAGGATGCTGGGGCCAGGCGGGGCAGCCATTGACAGGGCTGGGAGAGCAGGTGCACAATGGGGCCTGTTCGATTCAGAAATTCAGCCGATTCAGTGGTGGCCAACTGTCGAAATCAGATTCAGCCGAATTGATTTGGGACAGTGATTCAAATTACTGAATCGAATCACTGTCCCCCAAATCAGCCAAATCTGAATCTGAAGCAAATACTAGCCACTTCGCACAGGCCTAGTACACACATCTTCAGACAAGATAGCTCTGGGGTTGCTGACATTTTAGACAGTATTTGATGGTATTTCCAGCATAGCCAGCTAAATTATCGCTGTATCCTGCGCAGATGCACTTCAGGAAAAGGTTCTCCATATACTCTGTCCTATATCTAGTATGCCCTTGCAAGGCTAGCCTCAATGAAGTTTGGAACTGTTTCCATGATCATATTAAAGTCAGATGACCTTGGGTGAGAATGTGCTAATGAGCTCCACTGACCACTGTCCCTTTGATTCAGCATATGGGTTGCAGAGTAAGTTGGACTATCATGGCTACAACGTCACTCTTACACTACATGGAAGATACAAAAATCCACCACTTACAATGGAAAATCCACAACCTAATATCACCCTAAGAAATTCTTGACTGGAGACTGATGTCATTTTACTTCAGAGTAAAATCTGAGATAAATTACCCTTTGGTTTTTACACTGTATTTTCATTTTCAGAACCTCATCAAAAGAACAGGAGAAGAAGAAAGAGAAGGAAGAAAAGAAAAGATTGGAGCAGGAGAAAAAAGAGCAAAGGGAAAAAGAAAAGAAAGAGCAAGAGATCAGAAAGAGATTCAAAGTAAGGAATTTGCCTAGCAGGCTATGTAAATGCACAAGTCATTATTTAGCCTTGTGTAATTTAAACACACACTGTAAACAATACCATTATATTTTAGCTTGGATTTTTCAGAGGATTGGTTCCAAATCCCTTTCCCACACCATTGCTTTCCTGCTGTCGGAAAATAAGTATTAACATGCCGCATGCTTTTAGGCTTTAAATTATTCTCACAGGGGGGTTGTACATGACACGGGGGTTTAATTCTCCCTAAGCAAAGTAAACCCCCATGTCATGTACACCTGTGTCAGAGTCCGATCCTTACCTGCTTCTCCAGCAGCAGGAGGGCGAGAGCAAGCTGCTGGTGGGCTGAGCAGTGCCTGAGCTGTGGGGGAGTGGGGGCTAGTGCTTTCCTCCACAGAAGCAGCACCCCCCTACGCCTGCCCCGAGGCAGCACCTGCCTGCAGGCACTTGGTTTGAGCAAGCCCAGGAGGCACCACAGCCACGGAGGGAAGCACCAGGCCCCCACGCAGCTCAGGCAGGCAGGCTCCAGCGGGGGGAGGTCAGGCTCACTGCTTTTTTTCTTTTTTTTTGCCTTCTGTGGAGCCTGCCTTCTTGGGCTGCTGCTGGGCTGCCTGCAGGGGCTGCCTGCACAGCCCCTGAGCTACACAGGGCCCAGTGCCTCCCTCCATGGCGTAGGGTTTAGAAACTTAAACTCCTTGGAGGTGTTTTACTTTGCAGCCCCCCAAAATCATTTGCTGGGTCCAAAGTCATTTAAGGCACATTATGCCACCAAAAGTGCTACAGTAGCTGGAATTAACACACAATATGCTGCTGAATGTGCAAACAGCAATGCCATTAAAACAGTGCAAAAGGCACTTAACCTGCTTTAAAGTGTCATCTACAAATGCCCTAAGTCAGGGTAGGCAACCACCAGCACAGATGCCAAAGTCTGACACACAAAGGCATTTTGCTTGACATGTGCACCTTGGAGTAGATGGCAGGGAAGGGGCTGGGGCGGGGGGTGCGCTGCCACAGTAAGGATTGGGCCCCTTGCAGGTCCCCCTGCTGTCTGTCCCTGGTATGCCAACATCTTACAAGTCAAAGTTGCAGTTGTTTTTGGCACTGCTTAAAAACACTACCGACCCCTGCTCTAAGTGCTATTATACTGAAATGTGATGTTATCCCTAAAGGCAAACACAATAAATTATTGTTTCTGTACACCAGGTGTGGGCAAAATACAGCCCATGGATTGAATCTAGCCTGCTGAGGGATTCTGCGTAGCCCACAGTGAGTCCCTCGGTCCCACCCAGCCCAGGTGCAGAGGGTAGCCTGGGCCAGGATGCCCAACAGCACTAGACATGCCTGCCAAGATAGAGGAGGCAGCTGCCGGTTTCTGAGCCAGAGTCCCAGCACCAGGGCAGCCCTGCCCACCTGCCTGCCCCAGTGATCAGAGGGAGCATCAATGCCCAACACAGACTGCAGGGTGGGACCCCATGCTAGGCATCTCAGGACAGGAGCCCGGCAAGAACTGGCTGCATTTGAGGAACTGTTGCTCCCAGTTGCCACTACTATGTGGCATCTCCAGCACAGCCCCCATTGTGTGGCTCTCACCCAGCACTTGCTGCCCAATGTCCCATGGGCAGCCCTGCCAGGCCCACAGTCTCCATCTCTGTGGCCCAGGTCATCCATTGCTCCCCACCTTGGCAGTGGCTCTACTGCCTCCCAAGCCCACTGTCAAGCTCCTGCTTCCACTCAATCTAATGCTGCTCCCCACCTGTCCACATCCCCATCCCAACCAGGGCCCAGAGCAGAGCCCAGGAATGAAACAGGTGTGTGGGCCAGGGCTGGGATCCCTGGCTAAGTGGCTGATGGGACTGAGTGTCAGGAGCTGAAGGGCCCCAAAGCGAACAGAATACAAGGGGTTCCCACCAGCCCTGCAGTCCTGGCAGGGGCTCAGTTCTTTCTGTGGATGCTCTAACTCCTGGCGCTGTGCAGAACCAAGTCCTAGCCCAGCCTGAATGGCACCTGGAAAGAGACCTAAGAAGGCATCATTTGCAGCCCTGGGTGCAGCTGGAAGGAGCTGGAGATGGCAACAAAGGGTTGAGTGGAAGTGGGAAGTTGGCAGCAGGTCAGGGCTTGGGAGGTGGCAGAGCCACCAGCAAGGTGGGGAGCAGTGGAGGGCCTGAGCTGTGGGGAGGGAGAGCATAGGCTAGGCAGGGCTGCATGAGGCACATTAGGTGGCAAGTGTGGGGCAGGGGCCACGCTGGAGATGCTGCACAGTAGGAGTGATCAGGAACAGCAGCTCCACAAATGCAGCTGGTCACTTCTGGGCTCCTATCCCATGATCCTGGGATGTCCATGGAGATCAGCCGGGACCCACGCTGGCAGGGTGCCCAGCTAAGCAGGTGGGATGGGGCCCCTTAGGGAGTTTTGGTGAGTTGTTGGGGGGGGGGGCCATTCTGACCTGGCCCACAACAGCTTACCAAAACTCCCTTTATATCCCACAGGCCCAAATAATTGCCCCCTCCTACTCTACAGGGATATCTTCTCTTTCTTTGTTCATCCTGGACTGGCCCATACAGCAACAAATCTTTCCACAATTGAATCTTGCTTCACTTCTTTCATAACGACTTCAAATGTTTGCAGGTTTTAAGATCACAAGGGATAGTTAAGCCATGTCTGTATAACACAAACCATAGAATTTCACCCAGTGATTCCTGAATTCAAATACAAATACTTCCATTATTATTGTTTGCTTTGGTACAGCAAACAGCATGACTTCTGCAGTTACATGTGTTTGATTTCTCCTGTTGCTTTTTCTATGCAGCTACAAGGACCCATCCAAGTTATTCACCAGGCACAAGCTTGCACAGACTACAAGGGAGGGAAGAATGAACTGACTGTCAAACAGGGGGATCAAATTGAAATCATCCGCATTACGGACAACCCTGAAGGAAAGTGGCTGGGCAGAACAAAAGGATCTTGTAAGTTCACACTCTCCACTTTACACTTTACTCTTTAATGTTTTCTCTGTTAAATACTGACCTCGTGAGCTTACAAGATTACATGGAATACTAGATTTAATGAGATTTAAACTATGCCCAGAGTTTGAATTACACTTCGACTCTTTGCAGGGCTCTGTCGTGGTGGCAGTCGGAAGCCGGAAGGAGCCACCACTGCTGCCACTGCCTGAGCTGCCTAAAAAAGCAGAGGGCGGGCTCTCATCTCTTATGAGGAGGCTCTTGTCTCTGATAGGAGGGCTTGCCTCCCTCACTGAGCCCCCCTGTATTTCAAACCCTAGATAGGGACAAGAATATTCAGTGTCAGTTGCCACATCTCCTTCTGTTGTGCTTATGTGTCATGTGGGGCTCTGCTCCCAGAATGAAGTTAGGGATACTAGTATTAGTTACAGGCAATAAACAGATTCTTAGTGAAGCTATGCCACTTTACACTCCTAGAGGATCTGGTTCAATGTGTCAGCCTTGGTAGCAGCTGTGGAGTTTGCAGAAGTTCCCCAGAGTCAATATTTTTTCCGCACATCTTTTAAAAAAAAAAAAAGAAAAGATTGTATACAACCTAAAATCAGAGAATAAAGGGCTGTATTTTTTCCTCTTGCTTATGCCAGAACATACCAGGACAGAAGCTGTATCGGTAGAGTTACACAGACATAACATGGGTGTAAGTGAAAGGGGAAACAGGCCTCAAAATTGTCTACTGCTTTGAGTTAAAGATTTCTGTGTTCTCACTGATTACTAACATCAAAGTCTGTCTTCACAATATCTTTTCTTTTCCTGCCCTTCTTCATATCCTCATCTCTTCATATCCATGAACTACAGCCACATCACCACCTAACATAAATTGGAATAGCTGAGGATGTCTTCTAATGTGTATAGAAAAAGATGATAATCTGTGAAAGAACATAAGAACTGCCCTGCTTGGTCAGACTAAGGGTCCATGTAGACCAGGGGTGGGCAAAATGATGGATCTGGCCATCAGCTGGATTCCATTTCCCAGCAGCCCTGGCCTACATCTCTGTGACCAGTTTCCATGGAGACCCCATGGACTAGGGACACACATTACACACAAACTGGTTAAAGTGATCAGAAACTGGTTTAAACCTGTAATAGAACAGATTTTCAGTGCACATAAACAGTTTGAAAATGGCTGAAACTGGTCTGAGATAAACCTGGTTGAATGTAGTATCAGACTTCACTGATTTGAGTCAAACCAATGTATGTAATGTCCGTCCCAGGCCGCTTGCTTGTTTAAAATAAATCAGACTACCTCAGCATCCCGGCATGTTCTCTGGGCTGGGCGGGGGCCCTCTGCTGCCTGGCTGGAGCTCCAGTAGGGACTGCAGGCTGCTCAGCCTCCTCCCCCTCACCACTCCCTGCTAAACAGGAATTCCCCCCTCCCCTCTACCTTGTGGAGAAGTGTCTGTGTATTTGCTAGCAGACCACGTGCTGGCTATGGTCTGTGCTTAATCAGCAGGTAGAATCAACAGGTAGCTGGTAATGTCCCTCTGTTGTTTTCTTAATGGGGTGATAAACACTGTTATCAATTCCCTGCTGGGCTAATAAGAGCATCCTGTCAGACTCCGGCCACCACCCCATCAGCTCAGTATTGTGCAAGGCAAGGGAGGGCTGCTCTAGCACCGCCACTGCCGCTCCCCCCCTCCCCAGCTTCTAGCCTAAGCCACTGCAGGCATGTGCCTGTATTTCTGGGATGTCTGTTCGGTTACAAACCAGTTCAGCCTAGCCAGGTTAGACTAACCTGCAAAGATTGAATCAATTCAGGCTCAGGCTTTTTGAATGTCTGTCCCTAGCCATGGAAATTGTGGCATAGCCATGACAGCGTAGGGCAAGGGTTTCCACAGAGACCAGCCTCAGCAGCACTGGCACAGTGCATGGCTGGGCAGGGAGCTGCTACAAAGCCAGGGCTGGGATCTTGCAGTGGTGACAGCATGGTATGAAGCCAGAGCAGAGCTGCCATTCCCTGAGCTGGGGCAAGCAGACAGTGGATCACAGCTCTGCCTCAGTTCTGGACCATGCTGTCAGCACCACAAGATCCTGGCCCCAGAGCAGCTCCCCACTCTGCCATGTGTCTTGCCAGCATTGCTGGGGCTGGTCTCCAAGGAAACCCTGGCCCTACGCTGTCACAGCTTCACTGCTCCTGGGGTCTCCATGGAAACTGGCCTCAGTGACACAGGCAGGGGCTGCTGGAAACAAGTCTGCTGCAGGTCCAATCTGGCCTGTAGGCTGGACTTTGCCTGCTCCTGTTGTAGCCCAATATCCTTAAGGCCTGGTTTAAATGGTTATTTCACATTTTTTTTGTGAAAATCGTGGAATTAAATGATTTTCATGAAAAATGTGATTTGAAATGAAATGTCATGATATGGCCACTCAAGTAACCATTACCATACCATTTCATTGCAACAAGGTGGCTGTTACTGGATGGGGAAAGCATTCCCCAGCCAGCAGCAAAAGCCTAGCAGCCCAGGGGAGTGGGAAAGGGGTTATAAAAGACATAGAAGGAGGAGAGAGCTTGGGGATGAGTAGGGGAAGGGCTATTTGCTCCTCCAGGCATGAAAATTAGAGTGTAGGGGGTTGGGGATTCCTGGGGGGGCAGGGCCTGAGGGTTGAGGGAGAGAACATGCGTGTGAAGGAGCAAACAGCCTCTGCCCTACCCAGAACCAGGACCATCTGTTTCTTCCAGTGAGGTGTGGGGGTCATGGGCTTTTCAGCAGCAATCAAAAGCCTTGGGAGCAAGGCCTCTGCTGCTGCAGTTAAACCTGGCCCTAAATCTGACCCCACAGCCAATCAGAGGGTGTGGGGGAGTGCTATGATCTGGGCGTGTCACCCAACCATGATTGGGTGACAATATTAGTGGGTTAGACAGCAATTTAAACCAGGCCCTAAATACCCTGTCTCTGACAGTGGCAATTAGTTAGTGCTTCAGAGCAGGGGTGTTCAATCTCTCACCCACAGGCCAAATCCAGCCTATGGAGCCATGGCATCTGGCTTGCAGGGCTCCCTACAAATCACGAAATTTGGTAGGGAACGAGTGGCAATTAATGCTGCCACCTCTCCCTCACTGCCAAATTCCCAGGCCCTGCTCCACTGGATTGGGGCTTGGCCATGCCCCTTCCCCCTACATAGCTGGATCAAGGCCAGGCTCCCCCTGCCCCCTTCCATGCAGCCAAATCAGGCCCTGCCACACCTGCCCCATGCACTGGATTAGGCTTACCAGCGGGATCTGGCCTGCAGATGGACTGGGCATCGTCCATCCGGCCTGCGGTGAAAAAAGATAGGGCACCACTGCTTTAGAGGAAGGGTGTAAGAAAAAGGTCACATGCAAAGTAACCCATTTCCTGTCATACCCTCCTAGTCACAAGCAGTCATAGTATTAGGGATGTCCTGAACACAAAGTTACATCATTTAAGTATGCATTTACAGAAGCACACTAGTAGTCTCAATGATTTTAATATGCTTGTTCTTGTGCTTAAATATTTTCCTAGGACCTAAACAGTTTATAATACTGGATCTGAAATACATACTTTAAAAGAACATATAATTGTAAAACAATCTTTTCTATACGAAGTTTAACAGACATAAAATAAAATCGCTCTATATAGGAATATGGTTCTCGTGCAGTTATAACAAGCTAATGAATTTATCTTATTCTGGCCTGTCATAAAATGATTTTTACTTCAGCAAAAGCAGAAGTCATACTGGGCTTCCCTCAGATGAAGATTAAGGTACAACTAAATGTTTCAGTCTGTTTCACATTGCTGTTCCAGTCTGAATCTTATCTACCTAATGAACATTGCACAAACTAATAATGGAGGGGAAAGTTTGGAAATGAGAACAAAAAATAATAAAGCAAGGGTAATTATGTTTCCTCATAAGCAAAAATCACATTGTTTATAATTTTATTTCAAGTTTCCCTCTTCTGCTTTTCTGTCCATTTAATTTTCATGTGGCATTCCACACAGGCCTGAGGAAATACACACCAAAAATTGGGCAATAGCAGAAGGAAGCATTTTATGTTCTCATTGCTAAGTGCTTTTCTTATTTTCACACACATTTTGCATAATAAACCTGCCCAATATTTTTACAAGCTAACAGGTGCAGTGTTTAAATCCACCATATTATTATTACTATTATTATAGAGAACCCTGGCAAATTGTACAAGTTAAAATCAAAGGCAAGTCATAATGACAGAAGGTGCAATCCTGAGCTGAGCTGGGCTGCTTTAAACCTCACCTTTAGCAGTTCATCCTTGCAGCAGGCAGATTACCCAGTGTACCTCCAGGCTAAGTACAGTCTCTTGGGGGCATAAAACTGATTCAAAAGGGTGGGGGGGGGGGGGGGCCCTGGCCGGGGGGTTGGGGTTGGGTTCCAGCAGACTAGAGGGAATCCAGGGTCTGCCAGAGGATGGAGGGAGGTACAACCTGTGGCTGGGGTAGGGAGAGTAAGTGTGGTCCATGCATGGGGGACCAGCCACAGCCTATGAGGGGTAGGGGGGCAGGCGCGACTCATGGGTGGGGTAGAGTGGGGTAGGCATGAGGCAACTCACATGGGGTGGGGGCACAACCTGTAGGTTGGGTGGAGTTTCCGCCCACCCCAGCTAACACACACCTCATCCCCTCCCCCCCGCCTCCCCACCAGGGCTTACTTGCTTGGCTCTGGCCACAGCAAGCACTGATAAAAGCAGCTATACTCAGAGCAGCTTATGGGATGGGGGTTGAGAGGGCTGGCTGGGGGAGAGGAAGAGGTCAAGAGGGCAAAAAAATAGACCAGTGTGGAGTGAAAAGAGCAGCCCCAGAGCTGGGGCCAGTGGCTGGGTTTTCTTAGCCCCAGGGCCACACAAGGGAAGTGGACAAGAAGTGCAATCCACTGGTTTGACCTGAATTGAATGAGTCTGTTACTACATAGATTCCAGTTGATCTTAAATCAGATTCTGCAATTTTTCAACCAGTTTGTGTGCATGGAACTTCTGTTCAGTTACAGGTTTAGACTGGTTGCTGGTCACTGAGACTGGGTCTGCAAATGTAAGGTTGGCACCAGGAGAAGCTAAGTTTAAACTGGGAATCCAGTTTAATATCCCAAATGTCTGTATTAGCCTCAATGGCAAAGGACCAGCATAATGCCTATGTCTGTATGACAGCATAAGGTATAACTCAAACTCCAGTGATTTATCAACCTCTATAGGCACTGGATTGCTCTAAATTATTTTGGGGAACTGGCCAGTTGCAAAGTAGCCAGTTTCTGGATTGACAAAAAAAATCACCATAAGGTAACTTAGTGCTTGTCTTACTCTATACCATTTGTATAATGCACTCGTCTGCTGCAGCAGAGGGTTGAGACGATTTACTATAGGTTTCTATGTAGCAGATATGTAAGCTTAAGTTAATTTTATCTGAAGTGAGATTGTGTTTCCAAGGTAAAGGACCTGATTCTCCTCCTTCTTGCACAGATCTTGATGTGCGTACAAATTAATAGCATGCTGTGTAATTACAACTGACTTGAACCACTGTAAATGGGAAGTGTAAATATAGTTCATCTTTGTTTATTATGGGTGCAGCGTGCTCAGATTTAGAAATGACCATGAAGACTTTCAGCAGGACATTGCAGTTATAATTATTTGAATTTGCAGCCCTTTTGGAAAGTCCTTTCTGTGCTTTGAAATGAAAGTATGGCTACTAAATCATAGTTTCACTGTCTTAGATGGTTACATTAAAACAACCTTGGTGGAGATTGACTACGATTCATTAAAAAGAAAACAAAGACCTTCCTTCAGTGCTACCATGAGACATGGAGATAGTGACCAAGAAGTATATGATGATGTTGGAGAGCAGGACAGTAGCAGCAGGTATGTAAGAAGAACAAATTTAAAGATGCTGATTGCTTAGCTCAGCCAGCCCAAATGAGAAAAATTGCAACAGAGAAACAAAGATATCCTAAAATAAAATATATTGTTGCTGACACAACATTTCAGAATTATACACACCTGAAATTTAAGTAAGCACCACTAAAAAAGGCAACATACGTTAGCTTGCAGTATTTGAGCTTACCAAAGTATTTCCCAGTTGAATTAGGAAATGCTACAAATTCTGAAGCCTGCTATCATAAAATGTCACTTGTTTAACAGAGCCAGAGTATAAGTTTGAGCCATCTAGGTGTTTCCTCCTAGTCAGCCTGTAACTTAATGCCTACATATCTGAAACAATCCATTTGGTAACACTGGAAGTTGAGAACATGCTTAGCAATTGGAGCTTTGTAGAAAACAATGAACTAAAATGCAGGAGTCCCACAGATACAGCACAATACAGAGTGCAGAACAAACAGTACTACTCTCTTATCTCCTTTCAAGTCATTTTCTGCCCTTTCCAGCCTAGAGGTACTAAAGACTCTAAAATCAAAAGAATCATTATGACTGCACAGGAGTATCCCTTACCAGTGCTCTTGCCCTAAAGTATGGTGTGTCTCAGTGTCTTCACAGAAGGCAGGGAGAAGTCTGGAGGCAAGACAGGGATGGGCAATGGGAAACTAACTAATAAGGTTAACCTCTCTAGCCCAACAAATGGCATATCCAGAATGGGGAGACTATCTGCTGTATAGAAGCACCATCCTGTGGCAATTGGCATGTTCCGGTTTTCAGAATATGCCATTATGCTTTGACTTAGGGTGCAGACTGATGCAACAATTGAATTGTTCCAAATGCCTTTGAAATGTTTCAAAGAGCCAACTGCCTACAATTATGAACCTCGGAAATGTTTCAAAAGTAGCTGAAGTGCTCCAAAATAGAACCTCTGTAATTGAGGGGTTATTTGATGCATTTCATTTGTTATTACCTCTGCATGGGGGAGGGAGGGAGAGTGGAAGAAGAGCCTGGCCAGCTGTCCAACCCTCAGTTCCCACTCAAGGTCCCAGGCACTGCTGGTTCCTGACTGGGAACCCCCATGCCTTCTCCTGGGATCCCTGCACCCAGGACTGTCCCCACTGGATGTGTCTACATTTTATCTGAAATCAATTTACTTGTGAGTAAGCTATTCACGAGTAAACACTCCTGGGCAGGTGTCTACATATGCAGGGACATGGGAGAAGATTTGCAGCAAATCTACTCCCATGTCTCTGCATGTGTAGACACCAGCAGCAAATCTGCTCCCACTACCTGCAGCCCTGCAATGGGCCCTGCCACCAGCAGGAGGAGCTTGAGGCTCCCCCAGGGTGCTAACCCAGGGCCTGGCAGGCAATGCTGGGCCAGGAGACAGCTATCTTCTAGCCAGGGATGCGACATTGCTCCCTGCTCTCAGGGGGCTGTCTGCTGCTGGGGGGCGGGACAATATCCCGCTTCCCTGGCAGCAGGGAGCTCCCAGCTCCCTGATCAGGGCAGGGGGCTTGAAAAGAACTGCAGGGGAGGGGCAGGTCATAGAATCATAAAATCATCAGGTCCCAGCTTCCTGCCCCAATCCTCCGGTGGGACAGCTAGCAACAAGCTCCCGGCTGGCCAGGGATTCCCCATCCAGCTAGGGCCTCCCTACTAGCTGCTCCACAGGTGGATGGCGCAGACGACTGGGACCTGCCTCACCACTGCAACACTGTCCAAGCCCTACATCTTGATCGCCCCATCAGGGCATGGGGCTGGGACTTGCCCGTGACTGAGTGTGGAGCTGAGTGGGGAACAGGCTGGAGAGCTTGATCCCTGCTCAGCTCCATAATCATGGACCTGGGTGGGAAACAGGCTTCCCAGCTCATGCCAGCAGAGAGCTCCCAGCGCCAGCTCTATGACCACAGAGCCAGTAGTAGGAGAGCCTTATCTCTCAGCCTGAGCTCCATGGTCATGGGCCTTGGACTGGGAGATCCTTATCTCAGGATATGTCTCCCAGCTCTGGCCCTGCAACCACAAAGCTTGTGCTGAGAAAGAAGGATCTCCCAGCCCAAGCCCTGCAATCCTGATCATGATCTCGGAAAGCGGGGGG